ACTGCTCAGTCAACCGTGAATGTAATGACATGACCAGGGTGTCATTTTAAAGAGGAGATTCAACCCTAACAGAAGATATCTCCCTTTGATTCACATGTGCCCTACTTCTGTTCTCATTAGCAATAATATCACCGTTTCGTTTTTTTTATCCACCCTGTATTTCTAGAATTTGCCAATGGTTTTTTTTTTCATTTGAGGGATTTTAATTCCTGTGAATGACTAAAGCACTTTGTTACAAGAGCATGGCATATGGACCAATTTCACAAGGTGTCTTGGACCATCTTCACTTTTGTGTTTTTTTTTTTAAATGTCCATCACAGGGGTGAGATATGTCAGGATCTTTCCAGATTTCAAAAAACAAATCAGCGACCCTCAAACTCTTTCATTTCCCAGAAATGTCACCCTAGCGGTAGGGTCTGTCATCTGCCTACAATTGCAAATGATCCTAGATGTCAAGTGAGCAGCTAGAGTTTCTTAATTGTACTGACCTGTGAGATCGTTCCAGACATTTTCAGAGACTAAGAACATAAGCGGGATACTTCGACTGCACTGAGCTAAAACAGTCATCTGCACCCAGTGATATGAAATCCAGAGGTCTCGGAATCAAATCCCACTCTCGATCCGTCAATTTCTTAGTTCAAGCTCTTATTCATTTCTTTTAAACGTGAATGTAGTCACATCCATTATAGACTGATGCCATTGCGCATTCAAGCCAAACTAAATTCTTAGTTTGAAGATTAGAATTACAGACCTGCCAAGTGTGACACCTCCGACGTGTGTCACATTCCTCAGAGTCAAATCACACGCTCACACGCCGGACAATCACGCAGTGTATTTGGACATGCCTCACCCTAAATTGTTCTAAAAACATATTTTGGGAGTTGTTTTCGTGTTTGGGTTTTGACTTGAACTAGTCTAGACATCCCATGTTTAGAGATCATCGTGCAAACTTCATTCTGGGATTACGCATCCATTTCTTGGAAAAACCAGCCTTCCCCCCCCCCCTTCCACGCGGTGTATTTGGACATGCCTCACCCTAAATTGTTCTAAAAATATGTTTTGGGAGTTGTTCTTGTGTTTGGGTTATAGTTATGGCAACTTTGGTTCTGCGCAGAGATCATTTAGTGTCACGCAGCGTGGTTCTGCATGAATGACATTGGTGGTTCAATCAAACGTGTTTCTGGTAATGGTCGCAAAAAAAACAACCCAATGCCATCGACCAAATGAGACACCCGCGTCCCCAGGGCCAGCCAAGATTAGATTCTGATGGCCTGGTAACGCGGTTATTTTCGGGAGCTTGTTAATGCACTGTCAAACCCCCAGCTTTGGTGTGATCTGGGTATCTCTGGAATTACGTTCAATGTTTGAAACAGAAACAACTACTCAGAAAAGATTGACAGTTGCAGTCTTTGTAAATGACTCTAGTGCAGTCAATGGAAAAATAATAATACATGAAGTTCACCCGTTTGAAACCAAAGTCTACACATTTACAAGAGAGTTGCTTAACATTTTGGTATGGTTTGGAATGTCAGTATAAAATGGGTGTGAGTTAGACTCTTTGGGGTTTATTTGGTGGTTTTGACTTGAACTAGTCTGAACATTCCCATGTTTAGAGATCATCGTGCAAACTTCATTCTGGGATTAGGCATCCATTTCTTGGAAAAACCAGCCCTCTCCTCTCCCAGGCGGTGTATTTGGACCTGTTTGTTATTTCTACACACAGCCAGTTTACTCAATGTCATCGGTCATGAACCCATGTGGTTTCAAAGAGCTAGTAAACGTTTTCTTGAAAACAGATGGCCATGTTTTGTGACTATGGGCTCTGATCTGTGCGCATATGTTTACCAAAACCAAAAACCTGATGCAAATTATGTACTTCTCTTTTTGATTTAAATACGGCCGAAAATTCACTTGCACTTTTCCTAGTTTCTCTTGTGAAATGTCTGCATCCAGGTTTGAAAATGTTCCACTGCATAACACACATAGCTCTGGTTGCTACATTAAATGTAATTGAAAAGTATTCCGCATTCTGTGGTATATATATGTTTTGAGAGTGCATTGTTAAAAGTAAATTTTTGTTGAATACATGTGACAGGCTCTTGGCCAATCAAGAGGAAGAATCTTTGGATTAGGTTTTATGAACAAATTTGAGGGGGGGGGGGAGGCACAGCCTAAAAAACTAGCTCTTTAACCCTCCTCCTATCTGAACAGTCACAGACAGTAAAAAAATCAGTCCTCTTCTCCTGCCATGCCTTTTACAAAGGCTAGTCACCAACAGTCAGATCATATTTCAAGCAAGCACTGAGACTAGTCAAATTCAGTCAACCGACAAAAACTGCCAAGGTTGTAGGCACAGCTGGCTTATCAATCACCTATAGTCAAAACACAGTTACATGTACATCAAGTTACATAAACGGTCACAGCCAGTCAATCCTGCTTTATGCAGGCTGCAAACTCTTATTTGTTGAAAACAGTCACTTTTGATTTTGACTGAAAGGACAACTTGGCGCAGAATGTATCATGTTTGCATAGGAGGGTTTCAACATACTATTTCAATGTAGAATCTATCCAATTTTGTTTCAGATGTAACACGAAGCGTCCAAACCAGGCTACTTTGCATATAATGTCAAGGTTACCAGTGCAACATGTCAGTGCCAAGGAGTAAAACATTTGGTACTATTTTTTTGCAGATAACTGTGATTTATCATAAAGCTAATGAGTTTTTGGAAAGGGGAAGTGAATTTCTGTGCATCATTTGACCAGACCTACCTGAATCACTCAGCCTGTGCAGTAATCACATCAGCAATCAAACACAATATCATTGCTGAAATTGACTTGTAAGGGAACGTTTTCTGCATTAACATGTGAAATTGTTGCGGGGGGGGGGGGGGGGGGAGGGTTATAAGCAAAGCAAAACTAGTTCCCATTGGTCACTGCCATCGTTGATAAAATCATTCCCAATATGAGGGGTACATGTGGAATTTGTCCACTGAATCAGGTTGGCATAATATTAAAAATACATAGGATCATTTTGTGTGTGTGTGTGTGTGAATATTGCCATTTGAAGCAACAAAAGTGCTCAAAATCTCAAGTAGGGTGCATAACAACTAACCTGTTGAAGTTCGATCTTAGTGGGTATTATTCATTTTGAGAAAACATATGCGCAATTTCTGAGGTTCCATAACTAGATTCTGTTGCTGAATGCATGTAAAGAATTGTGCCCAGACATCCTATTTTTGAAATCACCATCACTATTTTTTTTTTTCAAACGAAACCATTTCAGGCGGGATAATTTCACGGGGTATATTTGATACTAGTCCTATCTTTACTTTGAGCTACGTTTACGTCATTTTAGGTTCTTTTCCAGGGAATTGCAAATGATCCTACGTGGCTTCAACAATTGTAGACTGTTGAGATGTGGGAGTGCTATGTCTCATTGAAAAAAAAACAGAACTTGGAAAACTACTGACTGGAATCCGCGTCTGAGTAAAACTTTACATTGATTTTCCATAGTCTTGCTCGCTGTAAACTGAAAGAGTCTGATGTTGAGTCATGGAGTCCACTGCATGTACACATCGTATGTGCTGTATGCGCCAAATGCTGTACCCTTGTCTTGAAAATGATGCAGATACACTTCAGCGGTATAAATTGGGTCACATTCACATTGGGTCACAAGATGAGATATCCATTATCCCAGTCAATCCTGAGATTTCCCAATAAACCTTTTATTATTCAGTCTCAGTAACATCCTTTAATCCCTCGCGGATGTATTCCTTCCCGGAAGGAGTGCAGTCAAACCATGGAGCTATAAACATTGGTCAAACCCATCAAAACAGGTGGGTATATGCACATGGGCCTGGGTATTAACCCCAAAACATTAACTGGGCGCCTTAGTGCTTTGACATTAACTGATGGCCTTGATAAAGTCATTTCTCATATAAAAGGCCCAGTGTAGTAACAGATTCCAACAGGTGGTTAAGCCATCTTCCGATATATCTCGGTGAAGTATTTCTGATTATACACAATTCTCGTCAATTATCTTAATAATCTGTGACCACATACTAATCAACCGCAGATAACAGGTGGGATAATCCCATTGGATTGGATCGTTAATCTTGTAAACGTCATGGAAGACTGCCAAGTGCAAATTCCAACTTCCTCTTCATGGGTTTATGTTGGGATATGGATGGAACATTCAGCATTAGGCATCTGTTCCCGGGCGCTCATGGGGTGTAGCCGCTGTCAAGAGTGCAGTCGTTAGAACATCACAGGAAACTTGCGGCTTATGTTGCTCTGTAAACTTCCGAGTATGTTCCATGTGATTTGGGACCCGTTGCGCATTGCTCAATTCTCGAAGACGGCGTTGTGTTGGACCTTGGAGAGTTTTTGCTCTCCGTGCAATGACAACATATCAGTTGGTATTCTTGATCAGCCTGATTGACCCTAAACAAGATCCAGCATTATGAGAGGTGAACAAAAGATCCTTTCTGTTGAAGTCAGCAGGCAGCACACTTCATTAGAACTTCATTTGATGGAATTTTGTGTAGTAGAGATTTAGATTCAATATTGAGTTTTGTTTTTCACTGATGTAATTTCATAAGGACTGTATCACTGCTGTACAAGGGCTTGGGAGAATTTTTTTTTTTTTTTACAAGCTTACTCGGGTTGGACTCGAACCTACCACGTACTTAACACGTCAATGGATCCCTGTGATTTTGTACGCACCGTGTTTTGAACTTGAACTTGGCCGCTGTATGCGGCCTGTTGTTGTAGCAAATATTGCTTCGTGGCGGGGCCTCGGAGTGTTGCATAATATGAAGTTACAGTGAGAAGTATCGTACAAATATTGTACAAGTGACTCTTAAGAGTCAGTACTTGGGGTGTTTAACTTAACTTTAAAATTATTGCTGATCTTGATGCGATTGTTTTAATAGCCGCTCCATTTTAGTGCAGCCTGGATATGCTTGAGTTCTTGCTTGAGGTTGTCTTGGTCGCAGACGTCAAAGGCTCTGTACTAGGGTCCAGTTGACCGATGACTTGAAGCTAGGGTGATGGAACGACCGTTGGTGGAGATAGCGGTCGGTGGGGGTCAGTTTCCTGTAGAAGCTGTGTCCCAGGGTGCCATCCAGGTTCCTGGAGATCTTGAAGTCCGGGAATGGTATTGTGCCACCTTGTTCCTGTTGCATGGTGAAGCTGATGCTGGCGTGTTGCTGTTGAGGCACTGGAGTGGAGGTACTGTCCGGGCCATGGGGCCGCACTATGAAGGTGTCATCAACATAGTGTAACCACAGTCTTGGTTGATCTGCTGTGAGGAGGAAGGAAGACATGAACTCCTCCATGAAGATGTTGGCTAGGACCGGGGATAAAGGAGATCCCATGGAGGTCCCAGCCGTTTGCTCGTAGAACTGCATGGCCTTGCCACTGGAAACAGTGTTAGTAACAGATCATGGATTTGGTCAGGAACATATCGTGGATTTATACCTCTGGTTCTTTTCAGAACCATTCTCTTTGTTTAAGAAATTATCATAGATTTGGTCGGAAACATATCGTGGATTTGGTCGGGAACAGATCGTGGATTTGGTCGGGAACAGCTCATGGATTTGGCCTGGAGACAGGTCTGTGCGTTTGCCAAGTGCATTATCATGTTCAAGTCTTTCCTTAGCTAGTTTGCAGGCCTCACCTGTGGGGACATTAGTGAAGACTTTATACCTCTGGTTCTTTTCAGAACCATTCTCTTTGTTTGAGAAATTATTCTCACATGGTGCAAAACCTCAAATCTTACTTTTCAGCAGATTGTAACCACACCATTTACAAGCAAAGTTGTGGGTTTTTTTGGCTTCAAAGAGGAGAATCAAGCCAATAACGAAACGGATTCACAACATCCATAGCGAAACCACGGTGTTTACTGGGACGTTGCAGTGCATGTGAATCAGTAATCATGGTTGCACCAGGGTAGCCTCTGAGTGACGTCACGACTATGCCAGTGAATTATGCATTTCAGTGTTAGGCAGGGATAATAATGGAGTGGCTTTCTGTGTTTTTATAATCACTCGTTATTATGATCGTTGCCCTTCACAAAAAAAAGAAAAAAAAATTCAAAATTTCCCAAAGGCATGGTATTTTTTGCTTTGTTTTACATGTAAATTGTGACTCAACATATTCATTTTCAATCATTCAGTTTTGTAAATTTGCAAATAAACCACAACGGGAAACTGACTAGGGGAACTGCCAACACAAGGCTGGATAGTTCAGATGGTAGAGCACTGGAATGGCAATCCGGAGGTCGGAGGTTCAAACCCCGCAACAATATCTTTGTTCAACTTTGAAATTTTTTTGTAAGTTTACTAATTTCATTTTGTGGAGCCAAAAGAAGGTTGTGGTCGAGAGAGATATGCTGTTACTCCGCCATGAAAGGAATCACACAGCAGTGTCGGCTTTTACAAGAGTCAATCACATTGTCTTGCTCATTTTACATTTGTCTTTTGCATTTTTGTTTAATTCCAGTTAGTCACTGCTTCCTTAGATGGAAAGATTCGATTATACAGTGATAGATGACAATGTGCCCAAGCCCCATCAGGACCAACCAAGTAAGAGTTATACAATTTGCAGCAGAGCGTGTAAGTTGAATGCAAAAACCTGTGAGATTTTACGAGAATACCGGTATAGCACATCTGGGCACCGTGTATACATGTAGGATTTTCAACGTTTAAAACATCCTATTTTTTGCGTAATTTGTGTCCTGACTGGGCCCATCAAATCAAGGGCAATAAATGGATATTTCAAAAGAAAAGGAATCATTGCAGTTTACATCAGATTGAAAATATGGCAAGTAATTGATGACTTTTATAAAAATAAAAATTGTTGACCTCAATTTCCGTTCAGGCGACTGTGACTAGACTAATCAGTTCTTGGTACCAAGACGTTCACATAAAAAGTGAATGTGGACCTGATGAGACTTACACGCTTTGTTGCTAACTTACAGAATTTTCATAAAGATGCTTTGCATTTGACAGCCATCTTCGAGATGTGTTTTGTTATTTTAATTCATGTCATTAATATTAAATGCACAAGAGGTCTTCTCATCCCTGTTGAACAAAAGCACGCCCCTCCAAGTTGGCCGCTATGCAGAGGATCTCCATCTCTTGTCCTCCCGGAATTAATCTTCAGTAATAACACAGCAAAGTGCATGTGATCACATGGGAACAGCCAGAAATCAAATGTATGAATCACTTTTTCCACCATCTTCATTCCTTAAAGCTATAGTCCATCATTTGCAGCCATCCGAAAAAGTAACTGGCGTATTATTGTTGAAAAACATACTTGGTTGAAAGATGGTAAGTGGACTAAACTCCCTGTGAAATTAATCTTTCTGGCAAGCTATCATTTTGAAGTAATCAACAAAAGAAGGCCTTTCCAACGGTGCGTCTTCAGACGCACTGTAGGAAATTTAAATTAGTAGTTCGTTTTGTTATTCGGCGCAGCCCGTGCAAGCATTGGCACGACGCACAGGCGCGCGCGGTTGCTATAATTTGTCGGATCAGTGCGCGACATCGCGTATAGCTGCAATTCAAAACAATTCAAAACATGATTCAGCAACTTTTGATTTGAAATTGAGATCCTAGAATGCTGTTTTTCTCGGAATATACAACTGAAGCTGAGCTGAAACTTCATCAGGTTAGTTGTTCAGTATCCTTCATTAGATTTTGAACACTTTTGTTGCTTCAAACGAACAAAATGCACAAATCACAAATGATGGACTATATCTTTAATGTGGTGTACTTTGGGCCAATCCTGATACATGGGCAGCAGTGATACATAAGCCGGGGGGGGGGGGGGGTATGGGAAGGGGATGTTATGGGTGTTTTTTGGGGGGTATGGTATTTACTACTTTTAATCACATTAGTATCGGGAATCATACGGATGATGAATCACCAAACCTCTTCCATAATTTCCTTTTCTGAGTAGACTAGAAAATTGTGCCGGTCATTTTTCCTGAACGCCTTTCTTCAATACTAGACTTTTACACGTAGTTTCCCCTATGAATTTTGAGTGTGTTCCTTTCTTTTCCAGCGCACCAATTATTATTTACATCCTTTGCTAGTTTTCCTGGTCTTTGTGTTCGTCTTTCTTTTCAGTTTCAAACTTTAGAGACCCTTAGTGATGTCACGTTTTCATTGCCCTTGGTGCACTCCCGCATATATGTAAGAGACCTCTGTCTTCACCAAGAATTTCAAACGATTCCAATGAATGTGAGACACTCAAAAGAAAACAGCCTTTTTTTGATTTTGTCAAAGCAGAAAATAGCCTCAACAATCACAGGCATGCAACTTTATCTTGGATCCGCTGATTTCCTCGTTTTTTGACTTCTCACGAATGCCATTACAAATTGAAAAATACTGTACAAAGTCTTGTTTGGTTTGGAGTTCCTCGTTTTTTCTAAATTCCCAGTTGCATGCCTGAAATCAGTATTTTTCAAAATTTTGTCAATATGAAATAGCATTAATAGAAATTTGTTTTTTAATGTTGTCAAAGAAAAATGCCTTGACAGAAATCAGTACTTTCTACTTTTGTTTCAATGTGAAATATACCTTAAGCCGCCCTCAGGTTGATCTTGCAATGACACAGAACAGTCAGACTTTTCAGGACCAGGGTGCACCTGAGCTACGACCAAATTGGTTGGTTCTACAAATATACAAATGTACAACATTTGCAAACATCGAAAAATAAAACTACCAAGTTTTTGCGAAATACCTTAATAGGATGTTGGTAAATGACAGTCTAAAGCATCCTGTAAAATTATGGCACCTGGTATACTGTCATTTTCAAGAAAAGTGGTATTTTTGTATCAATTTCCAACACTGATCGGCCGATCAGCGTTGGAAATAACTGGCTTTTTTTCAAATACTGGCCCCAATTGACCATCGCACTTGTTTGCAATCGATTACAAACCTATGAACGGGTACGAGCCAGCTAGACTGGTTCCCTGACCTTACAATTCCCCAATGTATGTAAACTGCTCTGTTTCTTCTTATATGGAGTCAGGGAACCAGACTACAGGAAAATGATCGTTTTTCTTGGTTTTTATAGCATTTTCGAACCCCAAACCTCCAAAAAGTCAGTGTAACTATATTTGCTTTATATTTCCAACCCCCCAATCCCATCCATTTCTGAAAATTACAGCAAAAGCAAATGATGTATATTCCCTTTAACAGCATCATTCAGCATTAAAGAAAATCAATAGTCGCCGAAGTAGTAGATTTCTACTTCTGCGCCGCGATGGAACATGTTCCTGACAATCAGTCACACTTGACCTGAGAGAAGTTACGACTTTGTGCGAACATCCACATTCGGATCATCTCATTTTATTGTTAATCGTTGTCGCATCGTGAGTGGTATGAGCATGGTTGCGATTATTTCTGTGTCGAGATGCCGCTTGCTCCACGATAATCACACGATTTCTCAGTTTTGTGACCTGAACTTGACTTTTGTGCCAAATGCCAATGGTTTGTTGACGGCGCCAACAAATCGTTGGTTGACCTTAGGGCAGCTTTAGCCTTTGTTTATTTCAAATATCCTGGACAGTTGCAAAAACATAAACAGCGATGACTTAACAATTATTAGGCGTTATCAATCACTGCTCGGCAGAGCTAGCTTTGAGCTGTCAAACCGGAAACGTATTGACCAAAAGGAAATGCAATACGTTGCCATGACAATCAAAAGTCTCTCCTTGATCGCTGATGTATGGGGGATTAACTTGACAGTGATTTCTTGTGGTCCATTCAACAAGATTGATGAATTGTAGTTTCTTTTCAACAGTGTGAAACTGTCACTAAGGACAATATATTACACTATATTGACTGTCATCAAAGGCATTAGTGCGTATCTATGCACCCCGGGGGACTGTGAATGACCACTAGGTCCCAGCCGTAGGCTGATGAAAATGGGTCCTCTTGTTGGCACTGACCAGTGTCCAAATATGGCTAGAAGCATACTTTTATAAGCTCCCAACCCATAAGTGAATCACCAGAGACAATAACGAAAATACCATTATTTCCAAAAGTCACGAAAAATACTCCAAACTCACTTGAGAACATCTTACACCGCTGGTTCTTTCACAATCAAAATCTTTTCACAGAAGAAATATCACTCCATGATATACTCACAAACCTACCATATTTTGAGCATTCCACCATGCAACCTTCCAATCACATCTAATGAAAACTCTTTTTTTTCCTTTTTTTTTAAAAGGGGCCAGGGGTGTTTCGTTTGATAAAAAATTAATCCCCACTAAAAGAAGCCCTGAAGCCCATCAGCATTTAGAAAAATAACCAACTTTTTTTTAGTCCAATTCCATTCAAATATCTCAGGAATACTAGCTTGTTGTTCAGATTCAAAATCAGACCTTTTAATT